AGGATAGGATAGGATAGGATAGGATAGGATAGGATAGGATAGGATAGGATAGATAGATTAGATAGATAGATAGATTAGATAGATTAGATAGATTAGATAAATTAGATAGATTAGATAGATTAGATAGATTAGATAGATTAGATAGATTAGATAGATTAGATAGATTAGATAGATTAGATTAAATTAGATTAGATTAGATTAGATTAGATTAGATTAAATTAGATTAGATTAGATAGATAGATAGATAGATAAATAGATAGATAGATAGATAGATAGATAGATAGATAGATAGATTAGATAGATAGATAGATAGATAGATAGATAGATAGATAGAAAGATAGATAGATAGATAGATAGTTAGATTAGATTAGATTAGACAGATAGACAGATAGATAGATAGATAGATAGATAGATAGATTAGACAGACAGACAGACAGACAGACAGACAGACAGACAGACAGATAGATAGAATGATATGTTGATTGATAGATAGATTAGATGGATAGATAAGATAGATAGATAGATAGATAGATAGATACATAGACAGACAGATAGATAGATAGATAGATAGATGGATGGATAGATAGATAGATAGATAGGTAGGTAGGTAGGTAGGTAGATAGATAGATAGATAGATAGATAGATAGGTAGATAGGTAGATAGGTAAATAGGTAGATAGGTAGGTAGATAGATAGATTAGATGGATAGATAGATAGATAGAGGAAATGCGGATAAGATAGAAAGAAACATGGATAGACAAATCAATACAGACATTAGAAACATATATATATATATACCTTCAAATGATAAATGAATAGACGGATGGACAGGTAGCCACATAACTACACAAATAAATTCTCCTCCTACAGCAATCCCACGAATCACGGCCCGGTTGATCCGTGAGTCCATGCATTTTGTTCGGTCTTCGCTGAAGCGGATGATAAACAAGCTCCTCTCAAGGATGGTGAAGAAACTATGCCATTCTCCCAAATAACAACAGGCTTCTTGAGTGCGCTTGACGCAGCTCTTGCAAAGAAAATTGGTTGAGGCCCGGCCTCGTATTCCACACCATCCCGTTTCAAAGTTTGAAGCCAGAGACGAATTGGTCTGCATAGCCATTTGGCGTCGTGATTGTTCACATCTACATGGACCACCTTGCGGCCCTGCCGTTGCTGTGTTTTGTTGTCGGGCAGGACTCTTAGGAAGAGTTGACCCTTGGCACCAGCTTGGGCAAATCTCAGGGCAAATGTGGTCACCCTCCAAGCGCTGATGCTTCAAAGAAATACAAACCAGGGCTTCTTTTTCCGCTTAACTCGAATTGGCAAAGGAAAGGATTCAGGCGGGCATCCAGCAAACAAACAGCTTCGCGCATCCTGGACCAGTTGTTGTTGTTTTCCCCCGAAACCCTTTAAGCGAGATAATCCACCTACTTTGTCCGTCAGTAGTGTTTTTGGGTGTCCATAACGACAACAAACAGTATAAAAAGAAACCCTGCTATTACCAGAGGCTGGACTTGTTCATGCTCATGCCCAAGCGTCGATGTAGCAGCAGGCAAAGATGACGAGGCGCGCAACGGCTACCACTCGCTCCCCAGGAGTGGCGGACATCGAAGTTTCAGCTCCAGCGAAGTTTGTTCGTGGTCAGAGGAATGCATTGGGGGGAGGGGTTGGGGTAGGGGGGGCAAAGTCCACATCCACAAACACAAAAAAAGGCAGGGATGGCGATGTTTAAGTGCCACAGAGCTGCTCACTTGCTTAACTATCTATCAAAAGGGACCTGAGTGGAAACCAAAAGGAACCAAGCCACAGTCAGAGTTGCTCTCAAATTCCTTTGAGTAGAAAAATGGCTCCTGAAGAAAAACCTGACAATTTTTTGATTCTTGAGGTTTGGTTCTAAGGCTCGGAACCAGAAAATGGAATTGCTGGAACGGTTCGATCCCGTGCGTTGGAGGCGAAAACCACTCTTTTCAATTTGCTTGCCCTTGAGAAACCAGAAAGTGGATGCCCATTTGGTCCGAATCCCATAAATGCCCGAGTCAAGCTGAAGAGCGTGAGAGTCCCCAATCTTTTCTCGGAGAGCACTTGTGTTCTGCGGGGCTTCTTTTTGAGGGAGTGACCAAGTCGAGGTTGCACAAGGTTGCTGATCCTTTTGAAGGTGGGTTTCCTTTTAACCAGTTAAAGGGTAACTTGACATCACTTCAAAGGAGCCAAGTTTGGGTCAAACGGAGTTGAGCTGACTTGTGGCTTGAGCGGAAGCTCTGGTCGGTCGGAGTCTGCAGGGCAGCGCATGCCCAGCCTAGATAAGCCTTGGCAAAGGCTCAAAGGATTAAGGCCAACCCCAAAACACCGGGATTCTCCGAATGAAAAGACATCTTCCAAAAGAATCACGGTTTGGGACTCCGAATCTGAATCAAAATCCGCCAAGCAGCTAGTGCTGCCAGGGCGTTGCATACCCAAAGATAAACTTCCGGTTCCAATGTTGGCGAATGGTATGCTTCGATTCTCACTGCCCTGCCTTCGGTCAAGCCAAACGGCTCTCAGGAAACCCGAGAGGCTGATAGGGTGTTTCCCTGGTCGAAGGTCTTGCGAAGCGCTATGTAGTGGTTGTTCAGCTCATCGTGAGCAAAAACACAAATCAGGTGTTGATAGAAAATAACCAAGATTGAGACGGGCGTGACGCGTAACTCCCCATTTTGTCCGAGTTCAAGGAGTCTGCGCTGTCATGGTGCACGTAGGATGGACAATCCATCATCCGTGTTCCTCCCAAAAGTCATGACATGGGAATTGGGTGAGTCCAAACCCCCCAGATACAGTTGTTTGTTTTCACTTTGCAGGCTGGGTGACACTGATGAACCTTTGCATTGGTCATCAAAAAAGGCATGACATGGCATGACGTACAGAAAGAATTTGGTCTCACCTTGGTCTCCACACCCAGGAACGCAGTGATGTCCATGGAAAAGAAGGCCGTATGGAGACAGAACAAAGGAAAGCGCGGTGAGCCCGTGCGACAGAGCAAAGGAGGGAAGTACTTCAGAATCTACAAGAATAACATCCCAAGCCCGAAATCCATTAACAGGTGCACGCCACACACTTTTTAAGGCACCACAGTGGGCAAACGCCTAACATATCTACAGCCCACGGCTTTCGGAAGCACTTGCGGGCCTCCCAAGAGAGAGACATGCATAAACCGCTCCTCTTGCTTCGCAAAGGAGACATCCTCTGGACGCATGCCGCATGCCCGAAACATCTGAACGGGCTGAACTATATATTGGCAAGGGACGTGTTTGTCTCCAAACACAAAGGGCTGAGTCCCTTTTCAGCGATCCCATCTATTCCATCGTGGCGAGGGAAATCATTTCTGGGTTGGGGGTTGCGAAAGAGGGCGCCGGTGGTCGCCTTTCACCCGGGCCACATCTGCCATCCAGACGCGCAAGCTGGTCCGACCCACCAAGTGCCGCCAGGTTCAACGTTCAACAACATGAAGATCCAGTGGGTCATTGGTGACCCTGCATTTCGCTCGCGGTGTTCTTCCCCCCCTCCCCCCCACGACCGCACCCATTCCGCGTGACTCAAAACCAATGTCCAGCTGCCCCTGCGACCTGCCCCGCATTCAGTCTCAATGCAGTGCACTCCAGCCTACTTCACGCGCCTGAGCCAAGGCGCTGCAATTCAACGGCCGGGACTCTGCTCAGCGCTGCTTGGGCTGAGCCCCAGCTCTCAATTCCCCAGCCCTTCACGCACCAGCCAGTGACCCAGCTACCCCGCCAGACTTCCTCCTTGACCTTCACCCCCACTAGCCCTCAGCATTCCCTGCTCGGCCCACCAAGGCCCGGCGTCAACGTTTCTTGTAGCCCGCCGCTCGAGTTCAAGTTCCTTTACGCTGCAGCCCGCCAGACTGCTCGGTTGGGCGGGCGAGGCGGGCGAGGCATCACGCAGCGTTTACAATAAAGTTCTGCATTTCTTGCTTAGGCAAAGCACGTTGTTTTGCAAGCAGATGCCAAAGGTCCAACTGCAAAGCAACTAAGGTTTGCTTGTGGGTAGGCCCATCGCCAACACACTTGTTATGTCCTGATTCACTCAATATAACAGCCAATTGCAATGTGAGAAAGTTCGCTGATGGACCATCAGGGAGTGCTGGATGCTGATTCCCACAATGTGCCACTTCATCCGCACAAAGCTCCGATTGTCAAAGCCAAACAAAGAGCCATGGGCCCGTTCTTTCGACAGTCTCGGGCCTGTTGCTGCTCTCAGACTACTTCGGGCTCGAGGGCTGCCGGGTGTATCAAACAACAAGACATAACCGATTGCAGGCTGTTCAAGGTATCTATTGCAGAGGCCCTTGCGTCATGGCGAAAGACAGTGACAACTCGAAACGGAAAGCCTAAGCCCAGCAAGAATATTGAAACAACTTGTCACAATCCAGAGCAACACTTTGCAATGGTTTCACCTTGATTCCAACAACTTATTGCGACAACGCGGAAGCCTAATCAGGCCCAATCGCATCTTTGCCTTTTCGCAAGTCGTGTTGGTTTTTTCCCCATCCCCTGACAAACCCATCCGCTTGAATCTTTGAGCGCTGGCTTAGCCCTGCGGCCAAGCAAGACAGGAGCCGGTCGCTCCGTGTGCGACCCGCCCAAGAGGGAATAGGGGATTGAAATCATTGCCATCCTTTGCCTCATCTCCTTGGCCCAAACATGTGTCAGGGATATCAAATCAGGTGATCTTTGTCTAACCTGCCGCAGTTCTGATAAATACTTCCTTGTATTAACCACACAAAATGGCAAGGTCCAGGGTTTCTAGATTCCAGTCTCACGTCTGCTTGCTCAACCATCGATGTGCAGTGACTCACTTGGCACACGTAGTGACCGAAGCGGGGCAGGAAAATCGTCCACCGGGACGTTCAAATGGCAAACGCTGCGACCCTTTTCTCGGATAACGTAAAAAGCCAACCGGACATGGGTTTCATTTTTTGAGGGTACCATTTTTGTGTGGTTTTAATGGTAAACCACAGGAAGCACCACCAATTTTGGTGGCCCCCTATTTTAAGACATGGGCCCAGACTCAGCCGAAAAGCCAAAGCCCGGCGCGGCCCAGGTAGCTCCTGGCCGCTGTCCATGCCCGCAATGCGACAAAGGGAACCGCTACACAAACAAACCATCTGGACATCGAACCATGTTGCTCAAGAAAGGCGCACTTGACACAAACCATCTGGAGGGTCGCTGTTTGGGATACACAGCCACGTGCAAGACATCTGACCACTAAGTAGTCCCCCCAAAAAAAGTTGCCCTAACTGTCCGTTTTGAGTGCCTTTGCCACCCCAATCACATTGAGTTGCCCCCAGAATCGAACTCCAATCCACCTCCAGGATTCCCCCCCGCCCCCCAGCTCCGCGCTGTCTGGGCTGTGGCCAGTAACAGCACCAGTGCAGCCAGCTGCAGCACGAGCTTGGCGAAGGCGTCGCTGCCGAGGCCGCCCTCCCAGCTGTCGCTGTCGCCTTGAGGCTTCAGGGGACAAGAACCTGAAAGACAAAGTTGAAAGCGTGCCAATTGGCTGATTTGGATGCCATGGTCGACTTGCCGACTCCAGGGATGCTTCTCAGTGTGGGGGGAGGGGAGAGAGCTGTCGCCGAAAGCAGACAAGCAAACAGTTGTTGCAGCCTTGAGGGGAGACAGACTGGAGCTGGGCAAAAGCGGGTTTGCTGAAAGAGGGTAGGAGTGTGAGAAGAACCCAAGTTACTGACCTCAATTTTGGGAACCTTGAAAAAAGCAGCACAAAAAGTAAGGGTTTTTGTCAATCCCCGCATTTCCAGTTGAAGCATGATCAGTGTATACGGCTTGGGGGAGGGCTTGGAGGGGTTGGGGACTTGGGGCCTGGTGGCAAGAAATAAACAGCGACCGAAGCACCTGGGCCGTTCGGTTTTGGAACCCATTTCCAGCATCCCATGTGCCATGGGCCATGACCTGAGTGTCAATGATTTGGGGTCGCCCCTTCAAATTGCATCAATCAACATGCAGGTCCTTAACCACCCGACTCTGAAGCCGACTCATTCAAACCCAAGCCAACTTTGAACCTCAACCCTGAACCAACACTACCCCCGGCTTGAGCTCGGACCAACACTCGACCTACCTGCCTTACCTGTCAGACAGGCACCCACTTTGAAGGGATCTCGACACATGGTGGGGGCTGGAGGTTTGGGGCTTCAGCGCTCGCAGTTTGGGGCCGGTTGCAGTGTCGTGGGTTTGATGTTGGGGGGGAGGTTGGGTTTTGGGTGTTTTTTGGGTTTGGTTTTAGGGTTTTGGGGCTTTGGGCTTTGTTGGGTTTTGGGGTGGTCCGCCGATTCGATCCCAAGCCTATCTCGGGCTCATCGTCCACCACCTTGCGTCGCCGGACGCGGATGGGGCTCGGCGAGCGCCTCGGACCCCCGGCGACTTCCCGTACGTGCGACGGACTGTTGAACCGGGTAGCCCAGGGCCGGGTTCTTCTTGACTCAGCAAAGGGCTGTGCTGTAGACTAGCTGCACACCTAGCACAAATCAGCTCTAAGCAAACCCAAAAAGATCTCTCTTTGACGAGCCTAAATGAACCCAAACAAACTGAAACTCATCCGAACCCAAGCAACTCTCAACTGCCACAATAGGCAGCCCTAGATCCGAGTGAGGCTGGTGATGCATGCGGCCAAAACCGGGGCTAGTAAAAAAGGCAACACCTCAAGCGGAACCCTATTTTACGACACGGCCGTTTATGGTACTATGAAATGAGAGTATGCGACATCTACGCCCTACCCTCAATTCTGGATCTCTCGTGAGCCACTTTTCTTTTCAAGAACTTGCCTTGCGGAAGGAGCAGCAAGAGTTCTTTGTGACACTTAGCCTCTGTGAAAATTGCAGACTTGTGGTCAATCCAATTGGGAATCGCTTGCTGAGTCGAGCAAGATTCGGCTGTCAAAAACCAGGCAAGATTCCTAACGTCCGAGTTTTTACACGTCCCTATCAGCCTATTGTATTTGGTTTGTGTTTCAGCAAGAAACAAACTGCATCAGGAAATGGATGGGATATACAGCCGCAGAGACACGATATCAAGCGTGTATACCCTGTCTGGGTCGTGGGGTGGCCACCATCTCAAGGAGACAAGTCCACACTGGTCAACTCTTCCCCCCCGCCCAGAAAAAAGGCAGGTTCCGGGTCAAACCACCCCCAAAAGGTACCCTCTAAGACAAACACATTTCAACATGTACAGTGTGCCCATTGCTCAACTCATGCTCAATGCAAACTTCACGGACTGAAGTTGAAGCGCACTCTTGAGAGCGTCGACTGCCAATTGGCAAAAGAGTCGGGTTCAGAAGCACGGCAAACATTAATGAGGGGCTAAGTAAGAACTTCCAGCTTGTATCTTGCTATTACGAACATGACTTCATGCGAATTTATATAATACCCCACACCCCATTCTAATTGTGTACGCCAAACAAGTAGGACCAACATTGCAAGATATGACTCGCCGCCCCATTTGAAGAGCTGGCAAATCCCTTGATGGGCGCAAGCTGAAAACATTGCTCAGTCCAGGATCAGCAGAAAATGTTGCTGCACCCATTCTTCAAACAGCCTTCTTTGCTTTTAGGGTGTATAACAACCTTGTTATTTGGTAACATCGTTAAATTTGCATTGTCCGAAACGGTGGATTATCTTGCAATGACCCATTCTTTTCTAAACTCCATGCAATGAGTCAGCTGAGTGGCCCCCTACCGGCTTTCAGTGTTTCGAGCTTTTGGCAACAGAGGCTTCTGAAGGAAAAAAGACAGGGACGGGCAAGCTGCGACCGGGCAAAATTTGCCGCATAAGCTGATGTTCTGCAAATGTGGCAGAATTCTACGGGAACCATCGGATGCATCCAAGCGATGCAGCGTAGGAAATCAAGCTCCAGTTCACACAAGCCTAAACCGACCCACAAAAGCGAAGTATCGGCTCGAACAAACCAACGAACCAATCAAGAAAACCGAGGCATCACAACTGAGGAGTATTCAGATCCAAATCAAAAGCCGGTCCACCATTTCAGGAAGCCGTTTCCAAAAAGTGAAAAAATAGAAGAGAGCCACAGTTGAACAACATGCCACCAAAAGATGGCCAAAAAAGGCACAAAAAAGGAAAGGCGATGCGAGGCGCGCGTGGTGGTGGCGCACCACCTCGTCGTCCTCCGAAACGTCAACGTCCCCCACCAGCCAAGGGATGCAGCAGAAGGCGGAGCCCGTGAGGCTGGCGGAATGCTTCCTGCAGCACGTGACAGTCTCACCCACGGGCCTGCCCGTGAAACCGGATGGCAGATGGGGTTCTAACCAAAGGGGGTCTAAAATTTAAAAGACCCGGTGGGCGCATGTCATGCATGGGATTTGCAACTAGATTCTGACCGTCAACGCACATTTCGAAGAAGTAGCTTGACTTGCCACGCGACCTGGATTTGGGGAGGCTCCAAAGGTGGGATTCCCCAGGTCCCTTTTAACTCAAGGCCGACAACCCAGGTCCAGGAAATTTGAAATAGAAAAGCACCTTGGTTCCCTTTCAGACAAGGACAAAGGTCAGCTTCTCACCGGCCTCAGCAGCACCGAGGAGGAGGAGGGATGCCTCACCACCTCGTCTGGCTCCTCATGGAGCGAGACCTTCAGATCCAGCACCTGCAACGTGGATGCCCAGCCTCGGTCCGCAGTCAGACCCAACCCGTCCACTTTGAGGGATCAATTTCGACCAGTGGCATCGAACACATTGTTGAGTTGGTGTGGGCTGGGTTCAGCGTTGGTTGGTTTAGGGTTGGTGTCAAGCTGATTTAGGCGAGGTTTAGGGTTGGTTTAGGGTCGGCTTAGGGTTGGTTAACTTTCCCGTGTTCAAAACAAGGCGCTTCCGTCTTTACCCGACTGTCTGCGGAATCCCGGACCCCAGCCCCGTCAGCCACGGCACCCCCACACATCCCCGGCATCAGCGGGCATCCAAAAGCACGGCTAACCAACCTTAAACCGAGTCTGCACCAGTCTAAGCCTCCAAACTACCCAACCCTTAACCAACCCTCCCTTTCAGTTCCCTTTTCCTCCTACCTTTTGCGAAGGGTACCACTTACAAAAATCACCAAAAAATATGGATCCCTACAAAACGGGGCTCCTTTTGGTTTCCCCTTCAAGGGACCCCGAAAAGAGAGCCCTGTCTTTCAGACACAGCCGCTGTCGTTGTACCAGGTGAACCAGAGCATGCCCTCGAGCCCTAAGGGCCCGCAATGCCCCGACACCGCACCTGGCCCGGGTTCTCCGACCGATGGTTTTCGCCCAGGAAAGGTTCCGTGGTACTTAACAGCGAGAAAACCATAGACCTGTTACCGTCTTGACTGAAGAGAATGAGATCTGTTGCAGGTGTGTCTGCTTCAAACCTGAAACAGGGTTCCGGCTTCGCAAATCTCAATCCCTTGCCTTAGACACCTAGGAAACCAGCGCACCCAGATTTTCACAAGTGCCCGAGGCCCTGACTTATGAAGTTGCAGGCGCAGGGGGATTCAGAAGCTGTTGGTCTTGCAAGTTGGACTCAGAGTGGAGTGGCACTGAATATTCAAGAATGGTACTGGAATCCTGAAAGTCAAAGCAGTGCAGCGGCAGCCTCTGTCGGTAGCCACGAGTGCAGAATGTGTGCACATATGTGTGTGTGTGTGCGCGCGCGTCATTTGCACATCAGTTGCGGCTGCATGCTTTCCAAACTATGGTAGGGATGGTGGATCATTGGGAACCAAAATCAGAGCACTTCAGCCTCATACTCGCAGAACACCAAGCGGACATCGAGAAGTTGTCTCCTTGGACCTATTTTGGGCTCGTAGGCCGGAGGCGGCTAAGACTTACAAACAGCATCAACACGTCGTCACTAAGGCCGCAGGGACTTGTAGAAGCAACACCGGAAAAAACACCATCAAATTAGCGCTTCCATGTGGCTAGGACAGCCATCCGGAAGCATGGCGGCCAGCCACGTTGACCACTACACACATAAACGCTAAAAACACAAAAACACACAACAAACAAACACAAACACAAACACAAACACACACGCACGCGCACACGCACACACACACACACACACACACACACACACACACACACACACACACACACACACACACACACACACACACACACACACACGCACGCACGCACACACGCGCACACGCACACGCACACGCACACGCACACGCACACGCACACGCACACGCACACGCACACGCACACGCACACGCACACGCACACGCACACGCACACGCACACGCACACGCACACGCACACGCACACGCACACGCACACGCACACGCACACGCACACGCACACGCACACGCACACGCACACGCACACGCACACGCACACGCACACGCACACGCACACGCACACGCACACGCACACGCACACGCACACGCACGCACGCACGCACGCACGCACGCACACCCACCCACCCACCCACTCACCCACGCACGCACGCACGCACGCACGCACGCACGCACGCGCTCGCGTGGGTGAGCTGAGAATCAGATGCAAAGTAGAACTGGAGTTGAGTTAACGCACAAACACACAAATGCAGAGACTCTGGGACACATGACCTCACAAACACACCGGCAAGCCAGCCAACCAAAACAACCAACAAACACAACAAACAACCAAACCCAAACCACACCAAAGCAAACCAACAAACCAGACCAAACCAACAATCCAAACCAACCAAACCAACCATGCCAAGCCGTAACAAACCACACCAAGCCAAACCAAACCATATCATTCCATATCAAACTAAGCACGAAACAAACGAGCGAACAAAAGAACACACACACACACACGCACACTGCGCTAAGCTCCCGCTTAGGAGAGTAGGACGCAGGTGCGCCGAATGATATCCTAGCGCACCACGCGGAGCTTCGCTTTGCCTAAGCGCGTGGCCGCTCTCTCCCTGCGTTTGATGACAACCTCAAAGGGTCGGTCTTGCGGATGCCGCCAACGCAGCGACAAATGCCACAAAACAGTAGCAAACCTTGGTGACAAGGTGCGGCCAGGCGCAAATGCTTGCTCTGCGCGCCGCTGAAATCCGAAGGTTGGGTTGCACAGTCAAGGCTTTGGCGCCATTGACCCCAGTATTCATCTAGATCCGTGCGCTAAGCATGAAAATGGCCTGGATATGTGCGAAACCTCGGCGCATGCACCTACGCTTCTCGTGAGATTGCGAGCGATCCACGGCATGCTGTTTCAGCATCGTTGCTCCTCGCCATCCCGGGGACACCTGACATACTCGGAGTGAACAACTCCAGCAAAACTCTTCGAACGCAGAAGAATATTGACCAGGACTCTGCAAAAAAAGCCATGAGGAAACTGGTCATTTCATCTGCTTTTTCGAGCTTGGAAAATCTTTCCGACTTTCAGAGTACCGGCACAAAATGCGCGAAGTCCAGGAAAATCACGCATGGGAATGATCCAGGCCGGTCTGTGTCGCTTCAATGGAGTACGAAACACGGCGCTCCTTTCCACGCTGGACTGAATTACTCCTTGCGCAATCTGGATCCGGACCTCTGTTGACCCATCCATGGGATAGCCAACTTGTGAGGGGGTGCTTGTGAGGGGGTGAAGCTCTGCCCTATCCAGAAGCGTTGTCTGCTTCGCTTAGCAGGCAGTCCTCAGTTTTTATCTCTTGATAGGACAGCAGGGCGCAACTTGGTCGCGAAACACTCACGTTTCCAAATCAGGTTTGCGATTTCTTTGCCATACTGACAAGAAATTGCCTCTGGTGATCACTTGGGCCAATTCGCCCCAGCTCAGCAAACCTGGTAGACAGGTTGTTCCTGTCCATCTGTTGGTGGCGGGGGTGCAGTCCGGCGTTGGCGGCCGAGTCCTGCAGCCAAGCCAGGGGAAAGCAAGCTGCACGCTTGATCTGGCGGGCGTGGTCCTGGGACTGTGACATGCCTAGGAACGGTAAAAAAACCTGGCGGGGCCCCACTGCGGAAGAAACCAACTGCGCCATCTCTTTTGGCGTTCAAACACGCAAGCAGCCCAAGATTGCTGAAGACGCATTCATCACACGGCTGATGTGTGCACACACTGTGCCAAACTCTCGCTTAGGAGAATAGGATGCACTGGGCATCCCAGATGATATCCTTGCGCGCCAGGCAGAGCTTCGTTGGCCCAAGCCACGTGCCCGCTCTTGGCCCCCTGCAATTGATGACAAACTCAAAAGGGTCAGCAGAGACGTGCTTACGCTTAGACTCCGGTGTCTGTGGGATGGTAGGCAGGTCTTGCGGATGCCTTGGTGGCCAACGTAGCGACACACGTCACAAGGAGCAGTAGCACACCTTGGTCAAAAGGTATGGCACACACACACAACCAAACAAACAAACAACCAAGCCAAGCTAAGCCAACAAACAAAACAACCCCAACCAAACCAAACCAATTCAAGCAAAGCGCACAGACCAAATGAAGCCAACAAACGAGCCACAAGCCGAAAGGGCACAAGCCACAAGCCACAAGTCGAGCAACTAGCCAAGCCAAGCTAAGCCAAACCGAACCAGATCAAGCAACGCACACAAACCAAACAACCAAATCAAGCAAAGCACACAAACCAAAGCAAGCCAATCCAGATCAAGAATTCAAAACAAACCAGCAAACAAAACAGGAAAACAGCAAGCCCGAGTGGTGTCCAACACCAAACACCATAACTCTTCGGCCCGAACTCTGAAATCCCAGAGCTCTGGAGCTGGGCAGAGACCAAGCCCATCCGAACCAAATCCGCAAGCAACAAACAGCCAAAAAGAAAAAAAAAAAAAAAAGAAGAACGCGCGACCCGAACCAAACCAAGCAAAAAAGATGAACAAACAATAATTTGGAAAAACAAAAAAGACGCTAACAAAAAAATGTCAACCACCTTCAGAGCTCTTGATTGCGCCTGTCACGGCCTGGGTAGGGAAGACCTCGTGCACCTTGGGGCCTTGGTGAAAGTTGGAAGCCGCCACTTCAAGGAACCGGAAAGAAAAACACGAGCAATGCCTATCTCCTTTGTGCCATGCTTCAGGGGAATCCAAAGTTAATGGGTTGTTTGGCAGCCAGAACTGTACAGAAGAATCCAGACGGGGCCCAAACACCAAAGCCTTTGCAGAAGAACCGTTTCTTCTGTCGCATGCACAACCACTGCATTTGCATTGTTGGGAGAATGCCCCGCTAACACCCAAAGGTTCTGCAGTGGTCTCTCTACATGACCCCCTTGTCCCGCGCGGACAACAGGCGCAAAGTCTGACAACTAGAGCCGAACCCCCAACAAGGATCCCCCTTGTGAAGCGCTTTAGAGCTTCCCAGTGAGTTTTGTTTTGGAGCTCCTAGTATTGGTGGATGACCGAGCTCAAGCGTGTCAGAATAATGTGGGCTAAGCTTTATGAAGCAAATGCCGCCAGAATGGCCATTAAGTTCGTCTTTCTTGAACAGTGGACCTTGCTGGGTTTTTTCACAGGTAGCAAAACGCTCGCTACCTGGAGAAACAAAGGTCCGAATTGGTCACGCCAAACGGTTTCATGCCCAGATGTGTTTTCCTAGAGATTCAGTCGGGCTTCCATCCGGCGCTTTGAAATGGTTTCAGGTCCATACTATGCCGCAGCGGGGCTGTGCTGAAAACATCTTCTGCCCACATAATTTACAGATACGTCGCCATAAATGGGTGTCGCCACCAAATGGCTTTGTCTCAACAAATTGGTGACACTTCCAGATGTTTGGTCTCATCTTTCGATTCCGATTGTTTTATTTTTCGCCAACAATTTTGTCTGACCCTCCCACTTGCCCACATCTCATCCCTTTGGGGTGTCTGAAAGCTCCGAGGTGCGCTCATTGCGGAAAAAGGAACATGCTCAAAAGGAAATCCAGGAGTAGCACACCATATTTGTCAGATCCTGACGGTTGCAAACAAAAAAAACATTCAGCGTTCAGTTGATGGCTTCCAGCCCGTCCAACTCCATCCAAGTCGCCCCTCTCAGCGCACTCAAAGAAGATCACCTTTGTTCCAGCCAAAGAGACACATGGCACATGATGGCTCTCGATTCTCTTCCCACAGCATCCCCAAAGACCTTACATGATTGCCACAAAGAGCACACTTGGACAAGGGGTGCGCTGGCATGTTGCGAGCTTGTTCTCATGAAGCAGTTTAACAACCCTTGGCCCGCCAGCCAAACAACGGGCCCAGCTACGCTCCAATGCTTCGTACTCTTCATGCACCCTTCCTGCATTCTGAGTAAGTCCTTTTAGGCCTCTCTTTCCACATGACCTTTACACATGTCAGGGGGTCCCTTCTGCGTGGTCACAGGATTTGCACGAAGCTCCATCAAACAACAGTGAGAAAAGCCTGCCAACAACTCAAAGAAAAAACCTGGCAGTTTGGCTGTACTGTGCGGACTCTTATTGAAACCACTGGCAGGAGGAGCCAGGTCGCCAGCCTTGCATTCGAATGGGCCCAGCTGCACTGGGGAAAAACACCAATGGCTTCCTTTTCTGTCAGTAAAGGGGATGCTGAAACCCAAAAGGGGAAGAATGCCATCCCTCCCTGGCTGGCATGGCGCATCCCCACGCCCCTGGTCTACTCCCCGCTCCAAGGCGCCGCAAACTGGAGACTCCCGGGCGCCTGGGTCCATCGCACGCAGGAAAATGGACATGAGATGTTCCACCA